CCCCAAAACCCCAAAACCCCTTCCTTTCAATTTTAGGATTCATTGGTTAATTTAAGAAACAATATACTCTGACTTTTTAATTCTTTAATTTTATAGAGGAAAGTAAAACTTTGTTCATCAATTTGGAATAATTCATTTTAACTCAACTCTGAGAGTATCTTGCTTTGTTATTCCACAATCTTTAATGCTTTAGGATGCTTAGCTATCTTCTAAATTTTTCTTTGGGAAGCCAGTTGTAATCAATTTCACAGTTGCACTATACTTTTACTGATTTTTCTTGATAAAATTGAAAATATCCTATAATTGAGATTAAATTTTCATAAATTGGAAAATACTTAGATTTTATTGTCAAAGAAAAACTTTCTTATAAGCTTTTTACCATCTGGCATAATCAATTGCAATTTAGTATAACTGTTAGGATCATCGGAATCTTATGGTTCTTCAGGGATAACTATTGATTTAGCTTCTTCCTCAAGCATTGATTGCTTGATGGCTTCTGCAAGTTCAGGATCATCAGCGAATCCCTCATACATAAACGCATCTGCTTCATTCATCACCACATCTTCTTTTTATCCACCTAAACTTACTCCTTATCCCTTAAAGGCCTCGAATTTCTTCTCTTCAGCCTATTTACCTTTTCCTCCATTTAAAATGGTTCCAACAGATGGAGCACTATCATCATCATCATCATCCTTGCCATCTCTTTTCGGATAGCTATCTTTCAGAGATCTTTAAAGAGCCTCTTCAAGTTCCCTTTCATCCTAACCACTCACATTTAGTTTCCTGTTTTTATTATCTTTCTGGTATGATTCAATTACATGGAGAGCCACATAATGCTAATTAGATCTTAACTGCCCACTGAATTGATACTTATTTGGCATAGGCAACGGTTTAACACCTCTCACTACGAAAATGGTGTAGCCACTATTCTTAATTGAGTCAAGGAATGCTGAAAGATAAAAGTCTGAAATGGTTTAAGGGCCAGGTGGAAACATATTGGTGGAATTAAGGTTATACCAAACATTGTGTACCTTTCTGATGGCAATCCAATGATCAACTGAATGACAAATAAAGGCTTCTTCATTTCCATAATCTTTAATGCTTTTCTTGATCTCAGGGTTTTCTACTGGAGTTGCTGAGTAATCACCAAAGCCTTTTAAAGCTTCAGATAAAGTTTGCATTGAGAAATTTCCATCATTGGCAACATTGCTTGATCCTTCCTATGTTAAATTTGGTTAAAACTTGATAATCCTTACTTGCATATACTTCAGATAATCCTTAGAAGATAAGCCACCAACAGCAAGAAGCTCTCTTTCCTGCTGATCTAGTTTCAAAGCTATTTCACCCATGGTCACTTCGTCAAAATAGGGTCCTTATAGAAGTGAATTTATACAATGTACTCCGCACATCATATCTGCTCCTTACTTCTCAAAGTAAATGAATTTTTGCTCCGTATTATTCATATTTCAATTTAAAATTGTAATTATAATTTAACTAAAATTCTTAATAATATATTCGATCATAATGAAAGCAACTAATTCCCTTTATTTTTCTTTACTTCTTCTAACGTTAATATGTTTCAGTAATATTCAGCAAACAAAAGCAGAGATTATGATTTCTCTTAGTAAGTAAAAACTATTCAATCATAATGTCTAATGTTACAATAGCTAATTACAGTGACCCTAACTACTATGATGAGTGTTTTAACGCTACTGGGCAGTTGTGTGATTACTGCTGCAATATTCTTCTTCAAACTTGTGTCAGAGATATCAGAGCATGCGAGCCTATTTATGAAAGAGGAGCCTCAAATGTGTACATTTTGCTACTCTTCGTGGGAAGTGTAGTTTGTGGTTGTCCACTCATCATTTTTTGCCTCAAATTTCTGTTAGACTTCAGAATGTGTAAAAATTACTATAAAGAGACAAATGGGGTTAATTGTTTGGAATTATGCATTCGAGGGTTTTGCTGTTGTTGCTGCAAATTTAAGCGAGTTCATAGAAAATTAGATTAAGACTCTCTTTTCGGAGGTATTGCTGAAAACAACGACGCTCCTGAAATAGATTAAGGTCCACCACCTTAAGATGTAGAACTAGTGGAACTTAAGATAAAGTAAAGTGCAAACCCAGAGAGAAATGCTCAACCTTTTAAGAAAATAGAGGTTACTAATCTATAGGATTAGGAAAGATAACCCCTTACTATGGAGAATGAATAACTTCACTCTTGATTAATAACAAGAATAACGAATAAGCTTAAGTAAATATTTATAAACTTAGAGATAAATTTCTATCTAACCTATGTCGAATTTCACAATAATTTAGCAGTGGGGTTTTGGGGTTTTGGGGTTTTGGGGTTTTGGGGTTTTGGGG